ATGCAGACTTGCCTGCTAGCAGAGCCACCCCGTTGTTGGATCTCGTTCTCCATTGTCCACAAGTGACGCAGGCCGACATTACGGGAACCACCCGGCGAGTCCGAGGTCAGACATCTGTAGGTATCCCCTACAGCGTCCAGACCCCTCACTGTTTAAGATACAGCAACCTCACTCATCAGCACACCCAGTTCTTGTGCTAAAATGTTGCGTCCCGCTAATTAAAAATCCATAAATGGCACGACAGCAGCCACGCAGTAAGAGTTCTGTTAACCACCTTGCCAGTGGTAGTCCAGTCCAGCCACACTGCCGGCCTGCACCGGTGACCCGCCCCCTGTGCTCTGCCCCTGCACCAGGAAGTGAAGACAAAGAAAGAGAAAGAAAAAGAAGGTGAAAAAGAGGGGAGAAGAAGACGGTGAGTCAGACAGATCAGGGTCGACGGTTCAGACAACAGTACAAAGCAAAGACCAAGGTTATAAAGAGGAAAACCTGGCGACAGCACCCAGTCTGACTACTGAACGACTACTCGACAATGAGCGTCGGAAAGGAGGGAGTGGGGAGAGGTGGGATGGAAGATTGGTCCTCCCCTGCTTCCTCAACTCCCTCCTTAGCCACCAAGTTTCCTTGACTGCCAGTGGTCCACCGCTGCACGACTGTTGACAAGGCCTAAATTGGTTCAGGGGCCTGAACCGGCACGATTTAATTGAAGCCGACGCAGGACGATCCCGATACCTGCAGTTCAGCCCAAGGCAACATACCACGGACACTAAGCGACTCAGCCAACCACAAGAGAGAGACAGTCAGAGAGGAGGAGAAAAAGAAGAGGACAAAACCTGCTAGCCATGGCAACGAACCAGCAGTTACAGAGAAACTCAGAAGATAGTTTGGTGCCTTTTTTTTTTTAAAGTGCTGTAGTTATATAATACAATTTTAGGCTACTGGTTACTAACTGGTTACTGTGCTGGCTTAATCAATGGCTCATCACATAATAATTCACTGGAGCTGTATTGACTGGTTTAATTTACTGGTATGAACTTACAAAATTAATTACTGTGTTGTTACTGTCAATTACTATAGTTGATAATCTTTTCTACTTATTTTACTCAAATGTGGTGTAATACTGGTTATTAGTCTGATTAACTAACTATGTTTAAATTAAAGGTCTGGTTACATACCCCAGCTTCTCATGACATTAGTCCGAGCTCAGATTTGTTATATATGGAATGATTATAGATTATTTTAGAATATTGATCATCATACTAATAATGACATTCTTTTATATAAATAATAGAACATAATCTCTGATATTCATCTTAAAATCAAACAGTACGAATAAACTCAGAGTGAGACATCACATAACTCAGGTACACAGAATGTGTGTGAGAGACACACACACACACACACACACACAACACAACACAGTGTTACACTGTTGCAATCCTCCAGCTGATCATCAAGTGTATAAACAGTTTAAATGTGTTTCCACAGGTTTGTATGACGAGTGATGGACTCGCACTAATTATAAACAACAAGTATTTTAGTGGAATTATTCTGATTGACTAGTTAATGAATTTGTCTTGTTTAATTAACTGGTTTATTACAAATTAGTTAATGAATGCAGAGATACTGACTCGTTATTTAAAGCACTAGTTTAACTTTGTTCGACTAATTTGAAATCTTGTGTTTAGTTTGTTGGTCAAGGTTGACATCTGTACGTCTTCCAGGGAGGGGGCAGCTACAGTCTGTGGACTCAGCCTCCATTACTGCCTATCTGCCCTGGGGGCAGGGAGCCGACGGTGTTTCAGGTTGGCCGGGGTTCGCAGTCAGCTTAGGCAATCAGGCCTCCTATCACGTGAGTTTCCTGGTTACGCCTGGCGTTTATGAAGGAAGAGGCACGGGGCCGGACGGAAACGGTCCCGGGGCGGGATCGATCAGCTGGCATCCCCTCTAAGGTGAGTTCACTGGTTTTAACGATTGTTATTGAATATAATAACTCATCAGGAGTTTTTTTCATAATTCTTATCATTGATGATCAGCTGATTGTGCATCCTTTGAACACGCAAATATCAGTTAATCTGAGTTTCAATTTCTAGGTGACGGTGGGCTGTCAGTAAGCGGGCGGTCGGCGCGAGCGCACGACCTCCGACGACTCAGTGTTACCACGGGTAACAGCAGAGCAGCATGCAGAGAGGAGACGAGACCGCTTGCAAGAGGTAAGAGAAGAAAGGGAGATAGGGGCTTTACAGGCCTGGGTTAATGATCTGTACTACAGGTGTATGAAGTGTTCTTGTGTTTCCATGAGCGCATGTGTTGTTTGCAGCTGGTGGAAGCGTGGTGAGGATGAGGAGCTGATGGACATCGTTCTTCCTCGTTGACTCCAAAGTGTTGAGTCTTTGGGATTGCTGCTGGACAAGGTACGCTTGTAGTCTATACGACACGCGACTATAACTCACACACACACACACACAACACACACACACTACATACATCACAACTAAACTATCTCTGTACTGCAGTGCAGTGAGATGAGACTGTTTGCTTCTGTAGCTGTTTCTCTGTCTGCTCAGAACATTGTGGAGAAGATGGTTGGTATTGTCTAAGATGGCCTCATCTTACATTGCATGCGGTCTCTCACAACAGTCCTGAGTGAGTCCAGACTCTGCCAAGACGACCAGCCTTTTGGACCAGTTGTCCAGTCTCTTTGTGTTCATGCGTCAGACATGCTGCTGCCCAGCGGAACTGCAGCATAAAAGAGTACACTGGCAACCCACTGACTGATAAAAACATGATGCAGCATTGCAGATGGGCACACTGCAGCTGTCAAGACCGGAGCCTGCTGTGGAAGAAAGAGCCGGTCCTGCCCGTTTCAGGTAGATGGCATCCGTGTTCAGGGCGCAGTCCAGTTTACTGTCAGGTGCCACCTAGGTGAGTATTTATAAGTAACTTGGCACCTAATCAGATGTCTTCGCATGAATGTTGGCTGGACTGAAGGGGGTGGACCTAGACCTCCAGAAAGGCCATGACCATCTCCTTGATCTTGGAGGTGTTCAGAAGGAGGCAGTTTTGTCACTCTATTTCCTGAGGCCATAATCAGATCCCTGTACTCCTTTTTCCTGCCCGTTCTGATACACGCCACAATAAAATGTGTCCCTGAGACACAGTTACAGCGGCTGCATATACTGTGGTGATACTTGTCGGTAATCCACAATCCAGGATGTGAGCAGGGATCCAACATCTCCCTCCAGCTGTCTTTAAGCAATGGGGGGGGTTGGATGTTGTTAAATAGGCATTTGAGAATCAAAGACATAATCCTCAATGTAACTACCTGGCTCATCCAAGTAGAATGGGCCTAGTGGAGCATGAGTAAAGGACGGCTCATCCACTGCAATATGTTCTTTGTAGGAGCTGATGTAGGAGGTCTAGTGCGATGTTCAATCCTGTGGCCTCAGAAGGTGGAGAAGCAGCCGGCTCCAGGGTCTTCATGAAGTGTGATGTGAGGGCCTGTAGTCATTTCTCAGCCCGGTCGTCTACTTGGGAGGGACCGAGAGAGACCGTGCTGTTTTCCACAAGGACCGGGACCGCTCCCTGTTTGAGGCTTATTAGGTTGAAGATCCTTCTGGAGAGGGCTCAGCCAGCTGGGCTGCACGAGTCCTTTAACATCGTCGGACACACATTGGCCTTTTCACATCACCTGATGTTGCGCTGGCTGTTTTCTCTTATAGCCAGTGATGGTCCTCATCCCTTCCACACCTCTATTGGTGATGTTGTTGCTGACTTCCTCTTCCTACTTTCTTTTTCTAGATCTTCCTTCGCTGGCTTTAATTCTCTCTTAAGCTCATGTTGAATACACCTGAGCTTTCTCCCTGTCTCCATGCCCGAGGCCTCCTTTTCTGGTGGAGAGGGTCAGATATGTTACTGTGATCCAGAGTTTCTTGGTTGGAAAGCAGTGTAACAGTTCTTGCTGGTATTTAACAGTGTCCACTACAGAAGTTAATGTAGTGCCATGGTAGCATTCAACCATTCTATCAAGGTTAGGGTTAAGATAAGAGATTGTAAACAGGACAGGAGCAGAGAGCAGGAGAAGTCTAATACCAAGTTATAGCTCCCCTCCCAGGTATAGCTTTAGGAAGGGTAGTCTTTGGCTCTCCCTGTTTTCAGCTGGTACCTGAAAAGCTCTGGGATCTCAGGTTGTAATCTTTGCTACTTTGCATGATGTGAAAACCTGAATTATCTGAACTAATTCAGATGATGCTCTGTTTATTTAGGTTTGAAATTAAAAAAACAAACCCAGAACAATCAGCTGGATAATAGTTGGCTTGTTTCATTAAACCATGTTTCTCTTATGTAGTTAACTCTGTGTGTGGGGCTCAGGCTGCAGCTTAAATAAACACCTGGAGACTTTTCTCTGTATGTAGGAGAACTGATTTCAGCGTGTGCGTGTGTGTGTGTGTGTGTGTGTGTGTGCTGCACGGTGCTCCAGCGTGACAGAACTACCAACCCCCACCCCTCACACACATGTAGATGAACATCATAGACGAATGTCTTATTCAGAAACAGAGTTTGTGATAAAATGTGAGAGAACTTCTATGTCACAATAACAATCAGGAAATCTATTTTCTTAATTTCTCCAGTACAGAGAGCAGAACCGATAACATCGGAGCTTATCAATACTCAGGTCTTTAAATATTTAACCCTGGAGCCCATTTAATACCGAGTACCCATCCCTAATTATATATCTCATCTGGTTTGGGATTAACCCAGGATGTTCCAGGAGGACCCCACTGGAGAGAAGGCCACCATGACCCCACCCCTGATAAATGACAGAAAGTGGATGGATGATTAAAAGTGTAATGAAATTTATTGTGTTGTTAGAGGAACTGCTTTTTTATTTTAGGGAAGGTGGGCCCCTCCATTGTTCAGTATGATCCTGCAGGAAACCTGGTTTTCAGGTGGAGACACAGTCAGTCTTCACTCAGAAACACTGTGTGTCCTCTGGTTTTTAGGTGGAGCGCAGCGGTTCAGCTCGGACTCGGTTTCCGGACATTTACCGTGAGTATGAGTCCCTGCAGGTTCAGGTGAAACAGGCCGCTCAGGATTACATCATCAGTCCACAGGGTGGAGCCACACCACTTGAGGTCAGAAACATTGAGGTGAGAGCTTCTACTGGGTTCTACTGTATGTACAGTCACAAACGTTCTGTTGTAGGTTGGCCGTAGCAGCATAGAGGTCCGTAACTAGGTCACTGTTCTGTGTGATTCAGGTCGCCAGGTGTCTAGGGATCCTGGATGAGGTGAACAGGATGAAGGTTGTTGCTGGAGCATCTCCCAATTGCAGTCTGACCAATAAGAATGTTCGATACATGGAGGTAAACAAGCTGTCAGTGAGGTTAGGTTCTTCGATCCTGTTTAGATCTGGTTCCAGTTTATATTTGGCTCCAGATTGGATCAGTTAACATCTGGATCCAGGTTAGATCTGGTTCCAGTATGTTTACCTGCTGTCTTTGGAGTGTCCTGATTTCAGAGACCTGGATCTGTTACCTGTTGTACTCTGATAGAGACCAGGACTGTGACAGTTAAACCTGATCCAGGTTCAGTCTGAGTTCATCAGAAAATATGTCTTCTAGAATTCCAAGATGCTGCCGCCGTCAAAGAGATTCAAGATGGAGAACAGTGTTCCCGTTCAGCAGAACGGTATCGAGACACACAGAACAAGTACAGTTACTGCACTCTACTACATCAGTACTACACTCATACATTTGGACAGACATATACACATAGACGCCACATTGGTCGCTTCAGCCTGTTGCGATGATACGATAAACAAATTTCAGCCTAAACTATCATGATTCTAAGTAAGTGTAGAACAAACTTTTATTTTAACTCCACATAGATCATAAACCTTTGAATATAAAAATGTTCCAGAGCTTTTTATCCAGAAAATTTGCAGCACCTCCATGTGCTTGTTTACAGACCAGTCTTGCCTGTCCAATATGGCTGCAATTTTGACGTATGATATAGCAGCCAACTAGGCGTCTACGTGTAGATGTCTATGGCTGGTTTCTTTATGTCTTCGCACTTTTCTCTTCAAGGTGGTTTGACAGTGACCCCCGTGACCTCTGTGACCCCCGTGACCTCTGTGACCCCTGTAAACTCGTCTCTAAAGTCCTGCTCAGTCTCTGTGTCTCCTTTGGTGATTCCAGGTGGATCAAAACTATTGACCACCACCGCTGACTCTGCCTCCAGGTAAGCTGACGCTGCTGCCACCCTCCTAGTGTACAGGTAAAACAGCTGATCACATGGAGATGTGGTGTTAAAGCTCAGAAGCTGGTGTTGCTCTGTCTCACCGACCTGAAGGTTTTGCTGTCTAGTGTGTCGGTGTCACACCTGGACTAGGTCTACAGAGCTGATCTGGTCTTTCGAGGTATGAATGTGTTTCTCTGGTCCCCCAGCTCTTCTGGCTTCACCTCTGCAAAGATGACATCCACCAAGGCTCCGCTCCCTGCCACACCTATGGAGATCACCCCAGGTGAAGATCAGGGGGAGGGGCCTCCACAGACTGAAGTCCAAGTGGAGACTCTACCAGCAGGCCAGGACCAGGTCCTGAGCACCACTGACATTGCAGCCCAGATGAAGGAGCTGGAGAAAGCTCTGGGTTCAAGTCCTGAGGCTACCGCAGACACAAAGACACTTGAGTCTGGCTGCGTCCAGACATCTGGATCCACCACAATCCAGACACTGGAGTCAAACACAGCCCAGGCTCTGGAGTCCAGCACAACCCAGACACCTGGATCCACCACGATCCAGACACTGGAGTCCAGCACAGCCCAGACTCTGGCCTCCTCCCAGCTTCAGCAGAGGGACTCATCCCAGTCTGATTCCACCACAGATGCATGTGAGGCCAAAGAGCTGCAAGAGGGACAGGAGATCTACATCCAGACTGAGGGGCTGACAGTCCAGCTGGCGGAGCCTGGTTCAGACCGGATTGTCATTGTCAATGGGCCAGATGGGACCACGATGCACATCCAGACTCCAGAGGGGGTCCCCCTGGAGGCAGTCCAGGCCTTGCTGGGCATTGAGGCGTCAGACGGAGCCAAAACTCCTCATTAAACTCTGAACAGGATCCAGACTGATCTGGACTGAGTAGAACCAGAAACTGACCTGAACCACTGACAGTGAGAGTCTGGATGTTTAAGGTAGTATTCATAAGGTGGTATGACCTCCCAGGTGCTGTCAATGGACAATACCTTAAGCTGAGAGTCTTACATGTCCGCACAGGTGAACATCAACAAAGAATTGACAAACACCTGGATCCGTGAAACAACTGGACCTGCAACAGTCCTAAAAGACAAGTCAACGAACAGGCATCATAAACACACCTGTCAGTCTGACCAATTAGCAACTCATGTTTCTTGCAGCGCCCCTGAGGACAAAGTGGGTGTAAAGAGTACCCTGTAGCTAACAGGTCTTCAGACTGCTGGTTTGTGGCTTCAGGTGTTTCTGTTGGTTCTGCTGTTTCATATTAGCACTTGAGGACAAACGGGATGAACTGTTCCTTTAATATCAACCTGTTCTGGTCGGACACTGTCTGTGACATCAGACTGAACTTTGCAACAAGTTGAAGATCTTCCAACAAACACCTGAAGTTTTTTTTCCTAAAATATCAAATTCTGTTCAGAAACCAGAAGGCTGCAATCTGTAGTCGACGTTCAGCTCTTCATATTTAATGTTTAAACGCTATTACCCTGAGAGAAATGATCAAACTGTGAACGTGAACCTGAACAGGTGAGGACACAGTAAACCTGATCAATGAATCCTGACCTCAGGTAAACAGATTAAACATCTAAATATGAGCTGCATCACTTATGATCAGTTTGTGGTTTATATAATACAAACTAGTGTCCCCTCTGGGCTGCCGTACTTATTGTCTCAGTTCATCTTGATGTTTGATTGGTTCATTCAGTTCTCACCTTTGATGATGTCATCGGCGGCTTGACAGGAGGTACCTGATCTTCCTGCTGGTTTTTAAGGAATCTGGAGTGATTGTAAATTTGTAAACTTTTTTTTCTCCAGTGGTTCCATATTTGGACTTGTTCGTTTAAAAATAGAACCCGATTAGTTGGCTGTTTATATGTAGATAAATATGAAAACAAAGTTTAAAAAAGGTTGCACTATTTTATTACTTTTTATAAAACTTCACAGCAAAACATTTTCCAAACGTGTGAACTCAATGTTTGTAATCGTTTGGAGAATCGACGTGAGGACGGACTGAAAACAGTTTTGAGGAAATCAAAGTTTATTGATTTGTTATGTTGATCGTTCAAGTGCTGAATGCATTTAACATATTTCATGTTCCTCCAATAAACTGATGTGACAAACTCAAATCACGCTCTCTGTCTGAGTAGCTTTTGTTCATCGTTGTGAACATTGCATCTTTAATAAATTCTCAGAGTGACACATCAGTGTCTCGTAGTTTCTGAATTACCAGATACGTTGTACTTCAGTTGTATTTTCTCACCAGTAAATAAAACTCTAAAGACGTCAAACAAAACAAAAACTAGTTTTACTTTTTTAAGTAACAAATGAAATACTTGTTTATTTAATGTCAGCACTTAATAAATAGACATTAGTACAGTAAAGATAACAGCGAAAGAAAAGCTCAACTTGCATGTCTGGTGGACATGAAAGAGTTAAAGTCCAGGCTGCAGGTGAACTCACCTGAGTTTACCTGTTTCTATTTCTACACCTGTTCAATAAGCCAGAAATGTTAATCAGACTACTAGGCTAGTAAATTACTCCTAAACCGCCTTTAACCCAGGCTAACACCTGGATTCTCAGAGATGACCCCGACATTGACCTCATGACCCTGGGCGGCAGATGACATTACAGTGGCCGGTGCCCCGTCTCCAGCAACACAGACTCCAGGGTAAGTCTGATCTGTGGGGGTATAAAGGGCTGGTGCAGCCAGCAAGACAAGTAGACCATGCACAGGTCAGAAGTCTCAGTGTGGGCGAGTTCCTGCAGGATTGTCTGCTTCAATTTCAGCTCCTGACTGAAGGCTTCCCACAGGACACCAGACAACAACTCTGAAACGAGATAAAACTTGAGACGACAACAAAAACAAACATCTTTTCACAACTGAGGTCGTCTTTAATGGAAAATGCTTGTTTTTCTACAGATGTTAGTTTGTTTAGATGAAAACAGGCTGAACCAGAGCTGATGAATATACCACACTGTGAACAGGTGGAACACACTGATGTTCTGCAGGTGAGTCTATGGACATTGCTCAGGTCAGTGTGATGTCACCACTCAGATGTGTAGAAGTAGACTCACTAAACTGTTTGGTGTTCCAGGTGTGAAACAGAGGACACTTTCTTCCTTCGGGTCCGAACTGGAATTCCTCCAGATCCTGAATGCCTCGCTGTGATGTCATCAGTTGCTCCATCTTCTTCACCACAGTGACCTAACAGGAAGAACACAGTGTGCAAAACAAGAACAAATTAAACAGATAATTTTGTCCTAAAATAAATCAACATGTTATATTGACAGGAAGTGATGTAAAATGATCGCTACAGAGTCTACAGATGGCTTAAATTCAACTTTATTTAAACAGTTTGTTAGTGGTGTTTAAATGGATTCAGGATCAGCTGTCAAAAGGTCAAAGGTCAATTCATTCAGTTCATGCAATTTAACTCAAATGTTCATAAGGATAAAATGAAGTGATGACATTTTATATACAAAAGGTCAAAGGTCAACTAGGGTTATTATCCAATGCTGTAACTCAGGAAGGAGACTGTGACCATGTTTCCTGTAACTTGACTGTTTGGTGGAGGAAACAACAGGAGCAGCGGAATCTAGTTCTGTTCTGTGACATTAAATTTAAAGAATGAATGAAACATCTGAATGAACAGAGTTCAGGTGAGGTTGTTCTCAAACAGCTGAGAGCCACAGAGCCTGAGTGAGACTCAGGGGAAAGATCTGATAATGTCATATTGACATAATACCAGTAACATGACATGGTAGTAGAAACACAGTGTAGGTGAAGAGAATAGAATCCAGTGCTCGTGCTCTCTCTCTCTCTCTCTCAATGATGGATGATTATATATTTTTATTATTATTATTTATAGCCAATATCCAATGCAAAGACAGGTCTGCAGCAGTCACGCTGGCGCAGTAGCAGCTCAGCACGTAGCCCCCACACACAGGTGAGTGAAGAGCATTTACATTTATCAAAACTTCAACCAATCAGTTGACAAGTTTTTTTTGCTGAAACTTACTCCTCAGTTAAATAAATGTAAATAAACTGAAGTTAAACAGAGTTTCACCATTTTGTCAACAACGTCCTGAAGTTTGCAGCATTCATCCTGCAGCTCTGCAGCGCCAACTGCTGGAGCTGCTGGAGCTGCTGAAGCTGATGAAAGTGATGAAGACTGGTCCACCAGCTGCAGCTGACTGTTCTGAGAACTGAAGGAAAGAAAAGTGATGATAATTATGAAAAGTCATGTGACTGACATAAGTCCTACAGGTGAAGCTCCTGAACAGGTGAACATCTATCAGTGAGTTTCTTCTGTTCAAAGTTCAATTCTGAAGAATCTGGTTCAGGAAAGGTGTCTGAACTGAATGAGTAGAAAAAGCTCCTGCAGGGGTACAGGTGCATTGTGGGCAATGTAGGCCCCAGTTTTTAACGAGGACGAGGAATGTGTGGATGGAAAATATCTGTGACAATGTTACAGGAGGGAAATGATAAATCATCTGTTGTCTCACTTTATGATGCTGACGAATCCTTAATCAGTAAAAACCTTCATTAAAACCTTCATTAAACTTTAAATTAACTCATTATTAAACTGAGCTAATTAAAGTAATTAACTCACAGTCTCATATTAACGATGTATGCTGCGACATTGAATCCATCCTCGTTGAGTTTTTCCCACCTCAGCATCAGGTTGTGCCAGTCAGCCGCATTATCTTTGATCTTTCGGGCACTTCCTGTGACAGCAGAGCACTTCCTGTTTGTTGAGGTCACCATGATATCACCTGACACACCTGAGAACATAGTTTGTCTGGTTTTTATTATTGAACTGAGCAAAACATTTCATGTAGCCATACATTTACATATAATTGTTTTTATAGTTTTCTCATCACGACAAAGAGAAAAATCAGTTTATATATTTAATTTATTATCATTATCATCGTTATGACAAGTGTTTGTATTTAGAGAATTCAGACTGATGCGTGTAGAGCAGACATGTGTTGTTCTTCTGGTGGTCTGGTCTCTTCTGGTCTCCTCTGGTTTGTCTGACACAACTGATCTAGTTTCTGCAAAGTTGTTTAGAGCTCCATGCTGCTTAAAAATCTTTAGTCCAGCCCTGGTCTGACTCTAAGACTCTGACTCTGATCAATATCTCTGATTAGTTTAATTTGATTATTCTAGAATCAGTGAAATAAACAAAACCTCATGTGTTTAAAATCTTTTTGAAACTTTCTGATTATCCCGAGGTGATATATATGAAAATATCAGAGATTTTCTCAGATGTTTGAACCCACGCAGACAGACAGACAGACAGACAGACAGACACACGCACGCAAACACACACACAATATTTGAATTTAATGAAGCTCTTTGGTTGTAAACATCAGTTAAATTATTATTTTTTTTATATTTTATAAAAACACTGTTATAAACTGAATCTCTGAAAATTCATTATTTTTTATTTATTTATTGTTACGATTCAATAATTTAAAGGAAAGGCTCCACGGTTTTATCTGAGAATTACCAATAGTAATCAATTATTCATTTTATTATTGATTATCTACACTCTTGTTGGAGGAAATCAGACATACCTGTTACCTCAGAGAATATTAATGATCTGTGGTATCTTGAGGTGCTGATGTGAAGGAGTAATCACCGCCGACACGTCTTTACTTGTAATCCAAAAGAAGTTTATTTACAAGAAAGAAACAGTGTCTAAAATGCCGAATCCTGGAGCATCTCTGCCAATGTGAGAACCCTCTTCTACTGTCTCACAAACCCCTCTATTTATCTAAGTAAGCAGATTTACCCCTAATGCACATTCCTTAAACTTAACTTATAATGTATAGTTTCAAGGAAACCTTTGATAAAACCTTAGTTGACACCCTTCTTTAACTTATTAATAAAACTTACATAAAGGAAGAACCTACAACAATTTAAACTGTTGAAAGAGGAAGAAATGAAGTGGATAATACACTACAGATCCCTCAGCAAAATAATATTTATCAGTGAACACACTGAGAGAGGAACAATAATCATAAATCTGATCCAGGGTTCACTCTGATCAATACATCAGCTGTTAAGACGATCAGTCAAAAGTTTAACACGCGGAGCAGCGAATTGATTCGTTTACAGATTAATCAATCTATCGATCAATAAAGCCATTACAGAAATCGATGACCGACCGTATGATCAGCACCAGATGATCACTCACCATCCATTTGATCAACAAATTTCTCCGCTCACGTTGACGATCGACCTCACACTTCCTGATATTTCTTCTTCTGTGTCATTTCTGCAGTGCGTTGGCGCCTCCTGCTGGTCGATCCTTTCTTCTTCTCCTCAGTTTTTATGGCAGCAGGGTCCTCTTGGAGTTCTTCTTTAGATTTCGGTTGCGGTTTATGTTTTGTTTAACGTTTCATTTCAAATATTAGGAAGTAGATGAAAGAGAAAATCATCGATCAAGAATCAGCAGCTGAATCATCATGAACCCTGAGCTCAGCAGGAACCGGCGGAGTGAGACCTCCTGCTGCTCACACGCTCTCTACTACTGACGCAGCAGGAAGTAGGAAGAAAGTCCGTGTTTCTCCGATCGATCAGACCGCGAATTATATTAATATCAATTGTTACTAATACTTGATAAACCAGCTGCTCAGACGTCGGTGTTCACGTGTCAGTGAGGTGTGAAGTCACAATGACGTCAGTGCTGCAGCTTCCCGCCGAGCTGTGGCTGCAGGTGTTCAGTTTCTTGTCATGGAGAGACAAACTTCAGGTGCGCTGCACCTGTTCACACTTCCGGTATCTGTTGGATAAGTCCTGCTCCCTGTGGCGTGGTTTCAGCCTCGTGCTGCGAGACTTCTCCAGGTATAACCGCCCATTCTGGCGCAGCCTGGCTCAGAGGCATGTGGGCAGTGTGTCGGTGCGTTCAGGGAAGAAGAAACACCTGAGGCAGCTGTCCACCTGGCTTCCTGCCCTCCATGCGCTGCGATTGGACGACTGGACAGAAGGAGGCGTCAGTGAGCTGAAACAGTTCCATCGCCTGCAGCGCCTATCCATCACTTCCTGTTCCATACCAGTGAAGAGCCTGGACTTCCTGTTTCCTCTGAGTCATCAGCTGACGCAGCTCAGCATCTGCAATGTACAGCTCACCTGTCCATCCTCTCACCTGTTGGCCGCCGTCAGTCAGCTGACTCGTCTCACCTCACTAGTGCTGCATCACAACGGTAGTCTAAGAGTCCCAACGCTCAGCGGCATTCTGACTCACCTGACCGAGCTCAAACAACTGTCCTGGACCATGATCACCTACAGAACCCTATCACATGACTTCTTTAGCCCCGCCCACCTCTCAGGTAAACACACACAGGTGACCCTGATTGGCTCTGAACGAGCTGTGATGTAACTCCCTCCATCCAGGTGTTATACTGAGATTTCAGGTGACCACAGGTCTACACACAAGTGTAAACACAGGTGTGTGTTGTTTGTTGTTCATCAGGTGCTGACACTCTGCAGCTGTCTGACCTTCAGCTGTTGAACTATGATGCCGTGGTGACGCAGGAAGTTCTGCAGCCTTTGTCCCGCCTCCACAGCCTGTCAATCTTCCACCTGTACTCCGTACCTGGGCCCACCTGTCACCTGCAAACATGGCTGACATCACTGCCTCAGCTCCGCAGCCTCAGTGTGCATGGTGAGACTCTACTGCGACTCTGGTTAACATTACTGTTACTCTACTGTTAGTCTTACCTTTTAAAAAGACCTATCGCCCTGTTTCTGAATTTTAACCTTCAAAGCTTCAGAAAACTAACCCTCACTCTGTCTGTCTAATAGGAGGCCATCCTCTGGCAGCATATGCAGACTTCTTGCCGTCCTCCCTCCTCAGTCTGACACTCTGTGTGGATCTGCAGCCTGAAGACCTGCAGGTGGTCTCAATCAGAGCTCCTCACCTGGAACAGCTGCACCTGGAGCCCTGGAGCTCCTCCTCCAACCTGGTCAGACTCCTCCCACAGCTGTTCCCTCACCTGAGGACACTACGGATCAGGTGAGTCACTGACACCTGATAACCTTTAACCCAGAACACTTTCGCCTGCTGTTTCCATAGTGATGTGGTTGCTTTCTTTCAGACATCACCATGTTTCGGACAGTGACTTCCTGCAGCTGCAGCAACTGCAGCGTCTAAACACACTAGAGGTTCTGGATTCGTACTACAGACCTGACCCCACAGACCCTAGCTGGGTCGTCTACGAGCCGAGTCCTCGTCTTCTGCAGCTGATCTCAGACCTGCAGAAACTGACCAATCACAGAGTCCGAGTCATCACCAGCTCACACAGAGACCCACTCACCTGCCACTGTGTCTGACCAGTCAGAGACAGTCTGACTGCTCCTGGGCAGAACAACTTGAGTGACATCACTGGTGGAGGCGGGGCTAGTTTTCAGTGAAACGACAGATCCAAAGAATTTCTTTTAACAATTTGTTGGTGTGAAATTATTTAATATTCAAATTTTATTATCTCACTAAATCTGCCTTTTCAGGAGAAATGAGTGTGACTGCTACCAGCTGCCATCACTGCTGCATTATGGGTAAAGGTGAATGTTGATTTGCTTCACATTTTTACGGATAAAGTTTAAGAATTTGAATACATGCACCCAGAATATAACAGAAACAAAATGTTTCAATACATGTTATGAGATATAATGTGACAATGAGACACAACAGGAAACAACTTTTGTCTATGTAAAGATATAGTGGCGTCACGGCGTCCAGAGCAGAGAGTGAAGCCACACTCCTCTGTGTGTGTCATAATCTGATCTGGTCTTTGTTTTGGTAGCCGGTCCGTATGCATGTGTATGTTAGTGCACATACGTGTTTATTTTCAGCGTTCAAGTGAAAGTGACCTTCCAGAATTTCCTCCACTGAAGAAGAAACCACATTTTTATCTAAAAAGGCTTCAGACACAGAAAGAGATGAGACCAGATCACAGGTGGACTGGACTGAGGACTACTGGCACAGATCCTGGTAGGCCGGTGGACTGTCAAAACATCCATAAAGGTTTTAAAGTCTTTACTGGCTCTGTCAGTGTCATTCATGTGGCTGGTCCCAGTGGATCAGTCCAGGGCTGAATTTCTGTCCCAGTCCACCCATGGAGCTGATACTGGTCTTGGTTACTGAGAGGAGAACCCTACAAGCTGCTAAAGGGTCCAGCTGGACTCAGAACTGTTTTTTCTTTGTTTTATGCTAAAATAAAAAAAATATTTTTTCCCTCATCAGTCAATTTTCCATAATGACAAAGTCTAAACAGAATTTTAGACATTTTTGCAAATGTGTTAAAAACGAGAAACTGAAATGTCACATAACGCTGGGAACACTTCCTGCGTTGTGTGAGCTGAGCTGCTGTGGACAATCACGTGTGTGTCTCTGCTGCTGCTGCTGCTCTGTCTACATAGAGTTTACTGAATGTTGGATTGGATTTCTCTTCATTATAAATTAATTTCTGGTTTAGTTTGACAGAAAAGAGATTGTAAGATTGTGAATTCATTCATTAGAAGGACCTTTTATGGTTACTTATAGATTTTACATAGGCATTTGGTACAGCAGCAGCAGTGCTAATTCCTGAGTGTAATCTTACCAATGAAATTTTCCTGCATGTGAAATGATGGCCATGGCCATTGCCTTGAAGTGAGTAGAGGACAGGGAGAGTGGGAACTACATCAGATTTGTGTACAGATTATTGTTTGAAATACTAAAATCAATATCCAGAAATCACCCAATGTGATTGTTTTTAGTTTTGTGTCGCTGCTCATGTTGGGATTCATTTAACCCATCTATTAGTACTAAACACACACAAAGGTGCCTTGCTCAACAACACTTCAGTCATGGATGTTGAGGGAGGGGAAAGTGCTCTTAATTCACTCCCCCCAACCACTTTTCTGTCTGAAGCTTCTCACACAGTAGTCACATTAATGTAGATATTAATATAAATATTAATATGTCAGAAGTGAACGCTGTGATTTATGGACTGATCAAAAAGAGATGGCAGAATGAATGGAACAAAGACAATAAAGGAGAAATCTTTTTAAAAAATTAACCTTTAGTTGGGAGTGAGGGTCTCGAATAAATATTATATGATAATAACCATTGAAAATGTGAATATTGTGGAGAAACTGTTTTATTTCCAGAGGAATTAAAGAAAGGATAAGGGTTAATATTCTAAAAAAACCTTCAGATGACTGAATGGGAAAATTCTTCTACAGTGTTTAAATCAACAAGATAATGAATAGAATCAGATAATTATGATTATTATTTATTCATTTTCATTTGGTTTAATTTGGTTTGGTTTTTATTTATTTTGTTTATTGCCTTGATTGTTATTCTTCTTATAAATACTAGAGAGTAGATCTGTACTTCACACTGCAGATCAGTAGGGGGCGGTATTGCCCCGGAAGCTGTTTAATATATATATATATATAAATCCGCCCAGAAGAAGGAGGAGGAGGAGAAGGAGGAAGAAGGGGGTGTCGGTCTCTGTGCTCAGTCTCTCAGTGTAAGATGGCGGACACGGAGGGTGAGTGGTCTGCACGTTTCTCTGGAAACATTTAAATTTACCGACTTTGTCTGATCTCAGTGTTTAAGCTAATAGTTTAACGTCTGACTCAATCTGTTTAATCTGTTTGTGTCTCTGGAACCGTGTGTCTGCGTTTGACGCCAAACTGCATTAAGAAAAAAGTAATATAAGGACAAGTTTGTATTATAACGACAGTGCTCGTCTTTTGGTGTTGTGTTATCTTCTTTTTTAACTTAACACTCGATTTATTAGTTCAGCGTTCATTTCATGCACCAACCTGCAGCACCGTAGGAACGGTGTAGTGTCTTTTACCGGGAGGCCTGCTCCCTGCTCCCCGCAGAACACACGTGTGGACGCTCCGGGTTACACTAAGTTCCAGCTGGATTCTGAGTCTACTGAATCAAACCGGGAATAAACTTGCAATAAACCGGGAGTAAATGAGTTTAAGGATAAATTTCAGCAGCGTTTCGTGTTTAGTATTGGTAAATATTGAACCGCGTGTTTTAACAGGACTGAAGCTGAGTGAACAGCAGAGTCTAAATCCTGATGTGGAAGATTAAACCTTATAAGTTCCTGTATTGATTTCTGCTGGACTGGCCGCGTGTATGTATTATCAGTTATTTGATTTTAGTTTTTTACAGTTCAGATGGCCTGTTAGCTCCGACTGTTAGCCTATGATGCTAACAACCACGTGCTATTGGAGAGGCCACGTGGGCTGTTGCTTTGCCTCATTTAACATTAATAACGTGAAATATTTCAAGAAATTAAATACTGTCGAAACCAGATTTTCACTTTGATGTTGTTGTTAGGAGTTAATTTACACTGAACTGGTCTGATTTATGTTTCAGCAGCTTCGGTGAAGAAGAAGAAGAAGGCAAAGAAAGTCAGTGAAGAAGAAGTCGGGGTGAGTGTTTATTTAACCTGCAGACTTTAAGTTTAACATTTTGTCTGAGTGAAGATAAAAATGTTAGTTTTTATTTGACAGGAGATCCAACAGAGCGGAGACTTCTTCATCCAACCAGAGTCTAAAGTCATCTCTCTGGACACTTCTCAGTGGCCCCTTTTATTAAAGGTAACACACCTGGGGCGCTTTGGTGGCTCACCAGGTAGAGCTCATACCATTAGGACTCAGTCCTTACCGCAGCGCCCTGGGTTCGGATCCAACCCTTTGCTGTATGTCGTCCCCTCACCCCCAGCTCTCTCTCTCTGTCACTGTTGCGCTTTTAAAGGCATAGAAAAGCCCAAAAAATAACTTACAAAAAAAGTAAAACGCCTGTGTTTACCTGATGTAAGGACACACTAACTGCTGCAGTTAATAAACCTGTCATGTTGCATCATTATTTTACCACTTGGTGAGGTGAACAGACGCTGCTGTTAAGAGAGTATTAACGTGAACTGTTGAAGTCCTCAGAGTAACTAATTATTTGAGTCTCAATCATGTGACGTGATGAAGCAGTTTATCCATTCTCTGAGCGGTGGCCATCTTGTCTTTGCCTCTGCTCCCATTCTGGGGACGGGGCCTCTCTGCCGTGGTGCCAGCCATGCCGGCGTTCTGCCGAACTATGACGGGAAACCACATGGAGAGAACGACTTGACCTGACCACTGCCAAGACGACTTACTGTTCTGATCACATGATGCAGAGACAAAGCAAAAATCTAATGAGTAAAACTAATCAGTGATTGACAAATGCTGGCAGAGGTAGTGTTAGAGCAGACTGTCAAAATAAGAGCGGTGTGCTACAGCCAGCTCTGACTTCCTGTTACTCCTCTTCAAACAGGAAGTCAACATGTAATCTGACATTAACATTTGTCCTGCAGAATTTTGACAAATTGAACGTCCGGACAACTCACTACACTCCCCTACCGAATGGCAGCAACCCCCTTAAGAGGGGCATCCAGGACTATGTCAGGTAACATAATGTTAAGCGAACGTCATCTAGCAGTACATGAGGTAAAATGTTAACGTAACTGAACACATGTTGATAAGTTTACTTCCTGTTTCCTGTCAGGTCTGGCTTCATTAACCTGGACAAACCGGCGAACCCGTCATCTCACGAGGTGGTGGCATGGATCCGGAGGATCCTTCGGGTGGAGAAGACAGGTCACAGCGGGACGCTCGACCCAAAGGTCACGGGCTGTCTGATCGTGTGTGTAGACCGAGCCACGCGGTTGGTCAAATCTCAACAGAGCGCCGGTACACACTGTTGCGAACTTTCTGTTAATGTCGGATGAATAAACCTTTTAGTTGATGTGTGGTTCTAATTGTCCTCGCCCGACTGACAGGTGTGTCAGCACAGTAAAACCCAGCAGCCCCCTCACTACTCTCTGTGTGTGTTGCAGGTAAAGAGTATGTGGGAATCGTTCGGCTGCACAATGCAATAGAGAGCGAACACGCTCTCGCCCGGGTAAGTCTGACAGCGTCCTGCATGTAGTCACAGCCGATCAATAGTTAGATCTTTAAAAACAGCAGAATATAGTTTAATTATGTTAATGAAACACTGAATGTTAACAAGCTGCAAGAGAGGTTTTTGTTGATTTTCAAATTGAAATAATCAGTGATGGCTCTAACATAAAAGCTGTGATTTCAGGTGTCAGATGTTTTTGTGACTAAATGTATTTGGAGACCAGATGCTCATCAGTATTCATCCTGTTTGTGGCTCTGGTTTAACTTAAAGGAACAGTGTCTTTTCTGTATTTGATGCCACTTTGGAGACCTTGTTCCTGATTTAAAAAAAAAAAAAAAAAAAAAAAAAAAAAAAAAAACCTAAATATTATCACAGATCTATGTTGTTAAGGGGCCAGTTTGCTGTCTTTTAAATGGTCATGTGACATCACTGACTCAGATTCTGATTGCAGGCATTGGAAACACTGACCGGCGCTTTGTTCCAGCGACCGCCACTGATCGCTGCCGTCAAACGGCAACTGAGAGTTCGTACGATCTACGAGAGCAAACTGATCGAGTATGACCCTGAGAGGAGGCTAGGTAAAAACATCTGTCAATAATCAATACACACCTGTTGGTCCCTGATCAGTATCTTCACTGTCTCAGTTTAAATCTGCAGCTTTATTTTGAACGCGTTTATGGTGTGGTCAGAGGTGGGACGTCCTGATGTCACAGGTCACCTGTCTGTGTTCCAGGTATCTTCTGGGTGAGTTGTGAAGCAGGAACTTATATTCGGACTCTGTGTGTCCACATGGGTCTGCTGCTCGGTGTCGGAGGTCAGATGCAGGAACTGAGGAGAGTCCGGTCTGGTGTCCTAGGAGAGAAGGTCAGCATCACTTCCTGTACAGCTCAGAGGTCACTGAGGGTCAAAGTGTTGAGTTCAGTCCTGCTGCTTGGTGCCGGTCTGATAATTAAACTTTGAAACAGAAACCTGCAGCAGAGACACAGTTCACATTGTGTACATCTGGAGCCTCAGTGCTGCTGACATCAGTGACACCACTGTCACTGCTGGTGACATCACTGTCACCACTAATGTCATGACATCACGTTTTCATTGGCTTGATTCAGGACAACATGGTGACGATGCATGACGTCCTAGACGCTCAGTGGCAGTTCGATCACAACAAAGACGAGACGTATCTTAGGAGAGTCATCTTCCCGCTGGAGAAGCTGCTGGTGTCTTACAAACGGCTGGTGATGAAGGACAGCGCCGTGAGTCGTCTTCGTCTGGAAAAATGAAGCTGAAACACTGCTGTTTCCATGGTGATAACTCAGACTGTGTCTCCAGGTAAACGCCATCTGTTATGGAGCCAAGATCATGTTGCCAGGTGTCCTCAGGTACGAAGACGGCATTGAGGTGAACCAGGACATAGTCGTCATAACAACCAAGGGGGAGGCGATCTGCACAGGTATGTGTGTTTGTGTGCACACGTGAGGTTGAAGCCACATGATGAGCTGAGTAGCTGCAGTAGCTCTTGGGCCATGATGACCTGCTATCTATCACCCTTTTCTGATGGCTTCTCATTTAGTTTGAGCTCAGATTAACAAGTCCAATTAATCAATGATCATTGAGGAGTCGTTCTTAATTAATTCTTGTGCAGCGGTTGCTCTGATGACGACTGCTGTGATCTCCACATGTGATCACGGCGTTGTGGCGAAAATAAAGCGGGTGATCATGGAGAGAGACACATATCCTCGGAAGTGGGGTCTGGGCCCAAAGGTAAACCTGAAGTTTTTGATTGCATCAGTGAAGTGATCAGTACCTCACTGTCGATGGTTTAACACGTTTTCATTGGTTCAATCAGGCGAGTCAGAAGAAGATGATGATTAAGAAGGGACTCCTCGACAAGCATGGGAAACCAAATGGCAGCACGCCACAGGACTGGAAGAACCAATATGTTGACTACAGGTACACATCACCTGGGGAGAGTGGGATTGATTGACAGGTGTGAGTGCAGACGGTTATCCCTTACTAAGCTGATGTGCTGTGTGAGGGAGTCGGTCTGCTACAGGAACCTTCAGGTTGGGGCTTCTTGGCTCTGCTGTTTGCTGAGCTGCAGCTCACCTGAACACAGTCATCTGACCTCACTGTGCAGTTTCAGGTTAAATGTTTCAATGTGATGAAACGTCATTAAAACTGCTTTTGTTTTGTTTGACAGTGTCTCCAAGGCGACTGAGGAGTCGTGTGATGCTTCAGGAAAAGTAAATTCACCATCAGTTTTGAATAAATATCATCTGAACACTGGTTTCATGTGCATTGACCTTTGACTTTGATCTCTACAGAGAAAGAGGGAGGACAGCGACGGCGAAGTGACGATGCCCTCTACACCCTCTGCAGAGGAAGTAAAGAAAGAGAAGAAGAAGAAGAAAGAGAAGAGAGCCAAACTGGAGGCAGAGGCTGTGGAGGAAGGGGCAGGGGAAGCACTTGAGACCGAGGTAAATGAAACTGAAATCACCTGCAGTCAGGTCACATGATACAATCTGTTACAAACGTCACCACTGCATACAGAACATGTTACTTCTACAACAAAGTTTAACTGGAAATTTCACACACAGATCATGTGACTGATGTAGAAATCAGGAAAAAGCTTTAAACTGTAAAACAAAAACTGGAGATTTTTAATAAGTAATCCGAAATTTCACCTGATTTCAGTCTTGGCTCTAAATGACATGCACACATATATGTGTATATGTGTGTGTGTGTGTGTGTGTGTGTGTATATATATATATATATATATATAAATAAAAATTAAGCTGCTTGTCCTGCAGGCTGGTGAAAGCGCCAAAAAGAAGAAGAAGAAGAAGAAACAGAAAGAAGGTGACGCATCAGAGTGACGGATCAACAGGTGAACAGGACAGTCAGAGACTCCGCCCAATGTCACACACCTGTCTGAACACCAGGATGCAAAGCATTCTGGGAGTTAATAATGGACTGTATGAATGCAGAAAGGATGGTTTTGTTTTTTTTATATAAATGTTTTTTTTTTTGTTTTTTCCAGCTGTAAATACTTTAACAGGAAGTCTGTTTGTAATTTCAAAATAAAAGTCTGTTTTCTGTATTTGTTATCTTGAGCAAAGCTTGTTTGTTCAGGTTCACACTGCCACTCATGACTTAAGATCAGCTGTTTGTTTTGTTTTTTATTGGAATGAAAAACGTACAACGCGTTCCATTGCAGAAACAGTTTTTAAAGATGTTCATCACAGACTGAAACTAAATGGGACAGTTAAAGGAATTAAGACTTTATTTTCTCAACAGGAAGCTCTAAATGTGTCAGCTTGTCGACACTCGGGAAGGAAACTCAGACACTGAATAAAAATATAAAGTTTACCCAAATTAAAAATGAGACAGGTCTGGACTGAAGCAGGATCTGGGTTATCAAGGTAACGTTAGGCAGTGGAATGTGTTTTCCATTGCAGCTCAGAATAACGAGAAACACTAAGCCAATAATGATCTGTACACTGATCAATATTTCTTATTATAAATTAACATTGGAGTCAGTGACTCATCAGACATCAACTACTTATTCTCATTTTCTTTTCTTTTTTTTTCTCCCCGCTTTTCTGCAGCAGAAAGTCTGTAATTAACTTGAACTGTCTTATCTATTTCACATGTTCAGAAGTTTTTTCATCAGACAAAAGAAAATAATTTTCTTATTTATAATTTATCAGTCTGGAGGGTTAGGTTTACAGACAAATCGGTGTTCTTCAATTTTCGTTCAGACATCTATAAAGGTCAAAGGTCATGTACAGTGGTTCTCCTCTACTTCAGGCCATGTAATGTGAATTATGATGATGATGGTGATGATGAAGGTGTCCCACGAAGATCAGTGGAGATTACAATTCACAAGATCATCTTTTAGCTTTTGGCTTTGACTTGTTGGATGAGAGGTCATCGAGTGACCTTTAACGTTTGTGACAGTGTTGAATAACATTGCAGTTCAGATAAATACCGATTGTTGGATCTCAATAATCGAGATATCTTGAACATCTATTGAAAATTCAGGTCAAAAGGTCATCTCCGTCGTAGTCCAGGTGAAACGTCAGAGAGACTATAAATATTGTTACAGATACATGAGTATCAATTAACAATTACAGTCCCCGGGAGGCTGCGAGACAACTGTGTTATAGCAATTAGCTTTCATGTAACACAATCCATAAGTGTGTTACTTATTTTATTTTATTTAAGAAAAAGGGTTGGGATTAGAAAGTAAAGGATTGCGCCACCGCAAAGCAGTGTTGCAATCTGTGCACACTCCATCCAGTCCCAAGCAGTCCCCCTCCTAGCTCTCATTAAGTCCCTGTGGGAATCTAGTGCCCAATTTACTAATCCAGGTCCTCTCTGTCCTCTGTCTCTGGGTTGTTGTCCAATTTGGACTGCACTGGAGGACAGAGGCCTGTACTGAATGCCAGCCATGCTGTATGAAGTGTTTAACCAGCGGAGTGTGGATGTCTTTCCTTTTCAGAACATTGTATCTATGTTGTGTGAATCTGTTGTGATTGTGTTTCTCGTCTCACCAACATACTGTAGCCCACATTGTTTACAAATTATAATATATACACAGTTTTTGGATAAAATATTTCCCTCATTCTCAATTTTATATACATTTTTATTCTGTTTATTAGTAATCCATACCTGCTGTCAATTCAGTTTTACCTTTTAATATAGAATCAATTAATGGTTTAATTTTGGCTTTCACCAGGTAATCCTTTAAATTCTTGTTTTTTCTGAATGCAGCAATGATCCTGTGGTTGTAGAGGAGCTCCCTTCCTTTCCTGGAGTCTTCAAAGTTGTTCCTGATCTCTCTGACCAGCTTCGCTGTGGATGCCGAGTAAGTGGTGATAAAAGGAATAAAAGGGGACACAATATGGGGCTTAATTTGGAGGAACTTTTTGAAAGAGTTTCTTAGGAAGGTCCTGGAGTACCCCCTGCGGGCCAAAGCAGAGAAGAGCACCGTAGTGGCCTGTTTAAAATCCTCATTTTGGGTGCAGATCCTGTGGAACCGTAATAATTGAGATTTGATTAGACCTGCAAAAGTGTGTTTGGGGTGAAAGCTGGTCTCATGGAGCAAAGCATGAGTATCCGTCTCTTTAAAGAAAACCTTAATATCTAATTTATTGGTTTCATTAAATTTGGGTCCTTTAAATGTTGTTGTGTCCAGGAAGTCGATAGAATTGTGATTTAAAGTGGATTTTAATTTAATAGACGGATTAAGATTATTAAGAGTGTTCAGGAAAATCTTAAAATCATCCTCTGAATGTGTCCATACTCCCCAGATGTCATCTTGATATCTATAATAGTGGATGGATCTTTTTTCACACTGTTTTAGGGCCCCTGTTTCCCAACCTGCCATAAAAATATTGGCATATGCGGGCGCAAATTTCTTGCCCACTGCTGTGCCCTTAATCTGTAAAAAAAAATACTCACCATTGAATTCAAAATCATTTTTTATTAAATTAATCTCTAATAATTGTAATAATTCTTTATCCGGTCTTTTTTTATCATAATTTTTAGAAAAATGTTTTTCACTGATTGAATGCCCTCTCTTATGTCTATGTTTGTATAGAGACTATCAATATCGATAGTAAACAGGATCGAATCTGCCGGAATCTGTCAAGTTTTTTATTTTGTCTATGAAATCATATGTGTCTCTAATTTAGCTGGTGTGTATAGTGGACAGGGGATTCAGATAAAAGTCCAGGAGCTCTGCTGTCCTGTAGGTCTCACTGCTACAATCAGACACTATAGGTCTACCAGGGGGAATTTCAAAAGGCTTGCTCCACTTAGCAGGGTCCTTATGTATCTTAGGCAACATGTAAAAACGTCTAGGTCTGGGTTCTGAATCACCAATCAAGTAATTCCTCTGTTTCCAATTAATAAATTTTTTCTCATGTAGTTTCTTAATGATTTGGTGTACAATGGGGATGGTGTCCAGATAAATTGGATTTTCTAATTTGGAGTAATACTTTGTATCATTCAATTGTCTGTATCCTTCCCATAAATATTGCTCCCGTTCCATAACTACCACAACACTGCCCTTATCGGCCGGTTTAATAATAATGTTTTTATTTTTCATCAGCTCCTTAAGTGCTGAGCTTTCTTCCTGGGTCAGATTAGGTTTCACATGCCGGATTTTAAAATGATGGTCATAATAATTTGTATCTCTTTTAATTAAGTCTACGATTTGGGGGGGTAGTTGTGCATCGGGAGGGGCCCAATGAGATGTGGGAGTGAAGGGTTGTGGTGTTAAATCACCTTCATCACCATAGAAAGCTGCCAACTTTAATCTTCTATGGTAATTTTGTAGGTCGAATCTAGACTGTTGCCTAATATTTTCACTGTTAAGACCCAAAGTGGGGATGAAAGTAAGGCCTCTATTAAGTAGAGCAAGCTGAGGGGTGGACAGTTGTATTTTATTGGACAAAATTTTAACATTTCTGTACCCCTCCTGAGGTGGCAGGCTGGTGGGGATCCTCAGTTTAAATGCTTACCCCAGTGATCCAGCATGGAACCTGCTGTCTGCCTCGTCCAGTGCACTCCATCTCTCTCTGTGCTGAACACCGTGTCTGGGAGCTTGGGGATGAACTCACAGTTTTCAACAATATATTTATTTATTACATTCAGATTAAAGCGTTCCTGCTGAGGGAGAGATGGAGAGTAATTAATGGCTGGCACCATCACCCGTGCCAGTCCAGCCCTGTGGTTCAGCCCAAAGGCCAGGATGATTTTCTCCGGCTGTGTGGAGCAGGTTGCCTTGGCGAGGATGGCTGCAGCGTGGTGGAAGTTGGCTCCCGGATAGCTGTCCACATGTAGGTCCTGATCCTGGAAGGGTGGACACTTGGCGAGATTGGAGTCTCCCACGAGGTACTTCCTCCTCACGTTGAGTGCCCAGTCTTTCATTTTCCTGACCGTATTGATGTGGCGGGTGGGTCTCCGGACGGGCGTGGTGGATGAGGGTGGTGGTGGTGGTGGTGGTGCTGCTTCCAGGACAGCCAGCTTCCCCTGCTCTTCGGCTGCTGGCTGTGGTGTCACCACAGGAGGTTTGGGTGGCCTGGAGGGTGTGGCTTGGTGGCTAGCCATGTGATTTTGTCCCTCTTTGTCCTGGGAAGTGCTCCCCTCCTCCTCGCATATCACACCCGGGTTGCCAGAATGGGCAATTGGAGGAGCCAGGCTAACCACTGGGGTGAGGGGGACAGATGGGGGTGGGTATGGGTTGCCCCTAGTGTTAGCCCTCCTCTCCCTCTGTTGTTTGGGGCTCCATGGCGTTACCTGCCCTGTCTCCCTTGCAGGACAAAGGACTCCTCCAGTCCTGATTGTCAAAACTGGCCAGCTTATTAATTTCGGCTTCCAGCATGTCCATATAATGTTCTCTGAGAACTAGGAGGGTGGTGTACTCACAGTTTTTGGCGTTCCCCACCAGCAGCAGGCTGGTGGTGTCATTCGGGGAAGCGGGTTTAATAAACTCGCTCAGAGTGGCGGTCATACGGCCGATGGTCGGGGGTGGCTCCTCCGCCGACACAGTTTTTAGATGGTGGGCCGCTTTAATAATGTTATGAATGATCCGGACATTTAAATTAAAGTCCGGATCATTCGACTGTACCTTGTGGGTGGGCTGGGTGGGTCTGTAAGGCCCCTGTCGCTGCGGTTAGCCGTCCATGGTCCACTGTCCAGGCCCGTAGTAGCGTACCTGGTTGTCCCGCCGTAGCCCGCTGCTGCTAGTCCGCTGCTCGCGAGCGTAGTGGACATGGCGGCCCTGCCGTCGTCCGCCGTTGTCGGTCCGCTGCTCCGCAGCGCGATGAACCCGGCGATCCTGCCATGGCGTTCTGGCCGCGATGGATCGCTGGAAGTGTCGCGATCCATCATATCCATCCCGTCTGGGTCGGCCGTATCTCGCCACGGAGGCGTTGCTCCGTGGTTGGTCCTCGTAGCCACGAAGGGAGCCGGAGCGCTGGGGTGCTCTGTCTCCCGAGCGCGGCTGCTTGCGCCCGCGTCGGACAATCGTCCAGCCGTCGTCTTTTTCAAAAAAGTGCATCTCCGTGTGTTTTCTTGACCTTTTTCCACGACCCCG